ATAAATATATATATACACGGTGTAAAAAAAATAAACATATATATATATATATGTATGTATGGATGTATATATTTATATGTATATATTAAAATTTTTAAATGTAAAGATTCAAGTTATATACATATATGTGTATTTTTGGCTGAAATATTTCACAAGTGCATATTCACACTTTTCGATAACTTTATCTGAACTCTTTACTAAATGGTACACAGTTTTGTAGCCTCGTTTCTTGTATATCTACTCACTTATTAGAAATCATTGTGAAAAGTGACATTAATTTTCAAACAAGACATTAGCTTTTTCTTTTTTCCTCCTTTACATTTTTTTTTATTTCATTATCCTTAGGTAATTCAATAACAAAAATAATTTTTCTTTTAAATAAATAAAAGCAATTTTTGATAAGAAATCTCGTGCCTCTACTTTCCTCCATGATTTGGCGTAAACATCTTATAGAAAATGTAATGCTGGATTTATCCAGAAAAGCGTTATATAAGCATGTGCCTAAAACAAGAGTTTCAAGACTGATAAATTTTCAAAATAACGAAAAAATTGTTTACATTTCTAAATTTTAAGACATATCGGTATTATTTAGTAATCAACAACTTTTGTGTAAATTTTTTGGAAATAATTAATATTTCAATCAAGATTCTCCATTCGAGATTCCCGCAATCGCGCATTCATAGTCTTCAGCATCGTTTCATCGCCATCGCAGAGAAGTCTTTCGTTTCTCTTCGTTACTCTTCCCTCCTCCTCCCCCCGCCACCTGGTCTATTTACATACATACATATACACATACAGACACACAGACACACACACACACACACACACACACACACATAATATGTATATATTTTCAATCTTCATATTTCCCCTCTTTCCACGGGTGGGGACAAAGTGATAATCGGGACCAGTCACACTCGTCGTCGGAGGCGGGGTTCCTCCGGCGCGAGAAATCGTACCGGGAGCCGGGAGCCGGGAGCCGGGAGCCGGGAGCTTTCTTCGTCAAACTCAGACGAGTAGTAACATTCGGAGAGGAGAGAGAACGACGACGCAGCCGCCGACAACGATTGCGACATAAACGGAGTTTCGCGACATTTGATTGCGTGGATCACTTTTAGGCTCGCCTTTTTTCGCGTCGGCTCTCGCTGATAAAAAAATCGCTTGTAAAAAGTTTCAAACTCCGTGTCGCGCTGTGTAATTTGAGAAAAGTGATCCATCGGTTAGTTTGCAGTGAAATGTGAGTTAGTACGTAAACATGATTCGCGTGCTGGCATAGCGGTGGATAGGTGGATAGGTGGATGGTGCTGTTAATCGAGGAAGCCTGGTACCGCGTATCCGGCGACGTGTCGGATAATAGAAAAACGTCGTCGTCTTACCCGCGTCGTGTCGAGTCGTCGTTTCTCGATGTGCTGAGGCAGCGTGGAGGTCGAGCAGCGGGAGGATGCGAGGAGCCGCAGCTGCACCGCAACCGGCGCCGGCGCCGACGCCGATGCCGATACTACAGCAGGCGTCCCAGTGCATACCGATCCAGACCAATTATTACATGCTCCGTAACGGTGGCAATGACAACGCCAGCATCGCGGCGCACGGCAGCGACGGCTGCAATTCGGCCAGTAACTCGCCGGTGGCATGTTACGAGAGTTTCACGCCGTCCGCGACGCATCTGATGGACCTCAGCGGCCCAGCGCCGGAGCAACATCGTAACCTTTTGCCGTCCAATTATCATCATCAAGTCCCGGCCGGCTACAGTCTTTCGCACATTGTCTATAAAAATCCGGAAGACTCGAGGTACCATCATCACCATGACGTGTATTCGCCCGGCGGCTGTGGCGCCGAGGAAATGGTCGCTCCCGGCTCCGTCCAGTCGATCCAGGGCCAGTCCTACCATCCCGTGGATGGAGTACCTGTGATGGAATACAAGGCGGAAATCGAGTTCAAGCCCGAGATGGATATGGTCGATCATGTCCAGAGGTACTGCAAGCAGACCCCGGAACTCGGTCACGTGACGGAGCCGTCGTCGTCGTCGACGAGAAACTACGGTGTCGCGGACGGCAGGCCGGCTGTCAGGAAGAAGAGGAAGCTCAGCGGCACCAGCAACAACGAGTCTGAGGGCGAGACTATGACGGCAACCTCCTCGACAAGGACCAAGATACGTCGCAAGAACGGCCAGAGCGACGAGGAGACTCAGAATCAAAGAGCAATGGCGAATGTCCGTGAACGTCAGAGAACGCAGAGCCTCAACGAGGCATTCGCCGCGCTCAGGAGGATCATACCTACTCTTCCAAGCGACAAGCTCAGCAAGATTCAAACTCTCAAGCTGGCCGCTAGATACATCGACTTCCTGTTCCATGTGCTCAGGTATAGCGCCGATAACAGCGAGAGCACTGAAAATATAGGTAATTAAATATAGGTAATTTCGAGATTAGTATATTAGTGTATCTCGACGAGTGTAATGTTTATGTTATGATATACGAGGTCACATATATCTATAAGAATGCGTGCTCGATGTGTGTACCTCAGGGAATAAATCTACACACTGAAGATAAAATGTTATATAAACATGGGTCGTATAGCTAAAGCTCTAAAGCTCCGAAACATGACTTATAAACATGATTTCATCTAATGTTTACAAATAATTTCGCTATTTCTGAAGCAACCTCACGTCTGGCCAGTATAAGCTTTCCAAATATGCTTGGTCCTTAATAATTCGGAAAATATGTATACACGATCTATGTTAATGCAACATTCTTTACAGTCGAACTTTCGTATTCCCAACATTTTTCTTCTTCATACCTCCGTATTCTTCGCCCATTCCATTCTCGCTTCTTTCTCTACTACTTTGTGCGTTTTGTGTATCTTGTGTCGTTGTGTGCGCATGAAATTATATCGAATAGAGATAAGAATCAGATGGAAAAATATAAAAGGCGATTGTTCGGTTTCGATACATTAAGAATACGGAGGCTCGGCTGTACTTATTTTAGTGTGTATAATGTGAGTAACCATCTTGCAGCAAAGGGATACTGCAAGCTTACGGTACCGACTGCACATTATTTGGAGAGACGCTCGAGGATTGTCTCCGTCGGCACCTCTTCCGTAGAGCGGTAGGTACGTGTTTACACCAGCCGGGGGTGACCCATTACAGTGTAGCATAATTAAACAGACTCCCGCCTGCTGATTCTTGTAATTTACACGCTATGGACGAATCTTAGAGGAGCACTTACGTCGTGTAAGTGTTTTCAAAGGAGCTCGCTCTTCATATCGCGCGTTATGTTGCCTGCGCGTTGTGTTTTTATTGTTTTCATAATAGTTATATAATCAATCATAAACAGCTGCGTAGAGAGATTCCAGTTTTTAATATTTAAAATAATAAACGATACACACGATGTACGCGCGACATATATTTTATTATTATATATAGAATGTCCTAAAGTTAAACAATCAAAACTTGATGTACCGGTATATAGAAACAATGTTATGAATAGAAAAACATATTATATAAACATTGGGCCCAAAAATGCTTTATTGGAAAAGTATGAGAGAGAGAGAGAGAGAGAGAGAGAGAGAGAGAGAGAAAGAGATTCATTGTTGAGGCATAACAATGTAAGAATAAATCGATGGTGCATTATAATCTAATCTATTTATATTCTAGCTATGCTTTTTATTCCAGCTCAATTTTTACCTGTGGAAAATTGTGAAAGCAAAATTTTGTATCATATAATAATCAATTCCCAATAAACTCATCAACAAGATTAATTTCAACTAAAGATAGAGACTGAACTAAAGATAGATATGAAATTCGTGAGGTATTAAATTCAATCTCTGCATGATTTCACAAGCTTGTATCGAAAGTGAAAAACGGCATTTTGAAATGAAAAATTAAGCCAACATGTAACATGATAATAAAATATTTTTGGGAATCAATGTCTATATGAAATTCTTTAATAAAATGAAATGAAAAAAAGAATAAATTAACGACTGTTAAAATTCTGTTCGCAATAAGATTCATTGCTAATCCTGTGAAGAGCACAGACCTATAAATCATTGAATTCATTCTTATCTCAGTCAGTCAGAGAATGACATAAGCCATCCGGTACATGCCAAATAGCGCAATGATGCATCTGTAACTCTGACTAACGATATCGAAACACTAATGGCCCGGAGTCGGTGCCGATTGGCCCGTCATGTTCCCGGCTTTTGCGACGAGTTCGCGAGACGGAAATACATACCGTTCGTTTCTTTTATTCGAATCGCTGCGCTGCCTCAGAGCATCTCGTGCGTTACCATGATGCCGCTGCTTCCCTTTTATTTTGAAATTCGTACAGAATTATCGTGTAATATCTCTGCGACTTCTTCTTTTCTAATTTCTTCGCTGGCTCTTCTTCTCAATCTTCGCTCTCGTATCTCTTCGTCGAAATAAAGGTTGAGGCTTCCTGAAAGAATAATATGAAAAATAAATTAAGAAATTCCATAATTCATAAAGATAGTTGGGTAATTGAAACTTTCATCTGTATTCGGTCAGTTTTTAACGATTTTTATATAAAATTATAACAACCTCTAATTTTTTACTCGCCTCAATATATCCTCCTCGGCATTTCAGGTGTGTGGGAACATTCGATACATTAAAATAAATTACTGCGTTATTTTTCTTTTAACAATTTACAGGAAAAAATACTATATATATGATCGTTTATATTATATTAGATGATAATGAAGCGCTGATAAAAATATCTGTTTCAGGAGATAGAGGCGCCAGAAGTGCGATTTTGACCGCGAGGGAAATCGCATCGTCACCCAGTACTTATACGGCGCATGAATTATCCTACGCTTTCAGTGTTTGGCGAATGAGAGGCGACTGGAATTCGAATTTGTAAAATAAGCGGCCCTGTTAGGATAACATATTACATTAAAGTTTAATAAGGTAAGATCGCGAGAGAATTACAAGACATTCGTAAATTTAATGTACGTCGCAAGAATATCTTGTTCATCAAAAGAGTATAATACGCGTACAAGTACGATAATTTTTATATCAAACTAAAGAAATTAGAGATTAGGAAAAAAAAAGGTATGAAATAGATGTTCCTGCGGCTTTGCTATGCACGTAATGTTACTCTCGCCGGTCCTTTCGGAAATCATTATCTTTTATATAAAAATAAATAAATTATTATATATAGGATTGTGATCTCACCCGTACGAAATAATAACACGTATGTTCGCGGCGTTCTCTTCCGGCTCGCTTTGAAATCTAATCGCGGCAGTTAATTCTGTCCCCGTTAATTCGCGGCATCGCCCGGCCGCTCGCTCTCGCTCGCAATAATGTAAGCCAATAATTTACGTCTTCTCATCGGACTATTAACGGCGCGACAACTCCTCGTGTACTGCATCGCATCGCTGCAAAGCGTGCTTATTAACCGACGCTGCGTCACGCACCTGCATCAATCAACGAAATTATCTCTTCGCGAGAACGACAACGATCGTGGCATGACGGATCTTTGTCCCTGCTCGCGTGGATTTAAATTGGAGTGAAAACAACTGGTGTTGTTACGCAAATAAATGAAAATGTTTTCTGAAAATTTCCTCAAGACTTTCGACAAAGAGTGTAAGCTTTCTAATTATTCCTCATATCGCGGGGTATATCTCGAACAATAAAATACGACGGGTAATCGATTATTGCTGGGAGATTCCCTCACTCGCATTTATATTCTTCGTTTTGGCTACCTCTCGAAAGCACGTCTTGCAGCCCGTTAACGCCAAATTTACGAGCGTTTACCCGGTCTGTCCAAACAATCTTTTTACATAGTTGATTTATTGAATCTTATAAGCTTCACTAAACTTGCCTTCCAAGCATTCACCGCAAACTTGAGTCGATAAACTGCAAATTTCATAACTCTTAACGTAGCAAATATTTTATATATGTATATATATATATATATATATATCTGCACATAAAGAACATTTAAAGATTATAATATCAAATTTAAATTATATTTAAATTATTGCATAATAATCGTGGGAATAATCCGGGGGAAATGCAAATGTACTTTGCAAGTGAATTTTAATTTTGCATATACAAAAGATAAATCTGTTGTTAATATTGTTAATCGTAGAGAGAGAGAGAGACACACGTTAATATTTGCATTTACTAATAAACACCTACGAAAATTGCTTGTATGTGTATAAACTTAATAGAAAATATAAAAACACGTAAATGTAAAATAAATTACAAATTAGAATATATCAATCTCATAATCATTATTTATATCAGCCTATATTAATTGGATAAAATATAAGGTACAGAATCATTATTAGTTTAAAAGGAGCGGTCTTTTTTAGTCGAGTGAAAAGTAATTTACACTAATAGCTATGAGTATATACCGCATCAAAAGACATAGAGATTTTTCTTACATTATAAAAATTCGCGAGCAATCGTCGATGCATTCTTGATGATTAAATTCTCACAAACGTTTTGTATAGATATTTACAGGATGAATATTTTGTTAAAGCAGCAACAGATGGATCTCTTTGCTAATAAATTATTTTTAGTAATACCGGCAATTATATCATTTTTCGGATCGTCCTTGAATTGTCGTTGCTCGGCTTGTTGTCTATAGGCCTCCGCAAAGCAAAGCAGCTATCATGATCATTCTCGACATCTTTCTTTTGCCATTAATTCACCGCCATTATGAATGTATAGGATATAAAAAAAAAAAAAAAAAAAATCGGCCCTCTGAACACGAATTACATAAATGATCGAAGATCCAATATTTTAGTTCTATATA